GTTGAGATCTCAGCCACATTAAGATGCTAGGCTTCTTATAATACCAGCCAGCCAGGCCTAAGTCACCTACACCAGGAAGGTACATTGTTTAGAAATTTTAAAGACTAAAAATTAAGTTCAATAAACAGTCATCAGTTAGGAAACAACAACAATCATCCCATCTTGTTCCAGTTTCTTACACTGGATTCTTCTCCATTGATCTGAGTGGTGCTGAACAACACGTGGGTCATGGGACCGTGCTACTGACATGGAGTGGCTTACGCAGTCAGAAGAAGACAAGTCCTGGAAAACTGCAGCTGCAAATAATGATGTCACACACAAAACATACTCAGCATGACATGGTGCTGGCATCCTCTGGGATGAACAAAGCTTAGCAGAAATTTGTGTTTATGTACAGGTAAGCCAGAATGACAGAAACTGCAGATTCGCTGCAAGGTGTTGTCATCTTTGGAAGTCATCTATTTTGATAAATAATACTTCATTTTAAATATAGTAATGGTTGCTGTGCCTTCTTGAGCTATATTTTAAGGATCTGCACAAGCAAGTGAGAATGTATTATCCATGCATGTCATCTGTGATTGTACTGTTGCTTTGACTGAAACATTTGAGGATGTGGAGGTGGAGGGGAGCCTGAATGTTAACAGTCCATAATGGCTATGTCAGACCTAACAGGCTGAGGATCCATGCAGCCTTCTCTCGCTGAGAGCACTTCTGCTCTCCCACCCTCCTTCTGGGTCAGGTACAGGGGACGCTAATCTTCCCCTGGCCTATTTCTGCTGCTTCTACTTCCTACTCTTTCCTGTTCTGAGTAGCTCTGGCTCCAGCTCTTTTCTCCTCCTCTGCATTGTCTCATCTATCACCCACCTCTCCATCAGCCTTCCACTCTGATTTCAAAGCCTGTCTCTCTCTCGCCCTCCCAGCTTTTCCCACTTACTTGCATGATTTCAGCTTTCAAGATGCTGACCTGTGAGCTGCACATTTCCTTACCCATTTCTCTTTTAACCCATGGTTCTAGTTCATCTCTTTTACTTGCCTCAAGGACTTTTCACTTGTTTTTTCACCAGCCACTGATTCCTCTGATCTCTGCTGAACTTCCATCCCCAGTGCTCACTTCCAAAAGCATTCATGACCCCCTCCCTACATACAGACCCTCAGCACACCCTAGCACAGCCATGCTGTGTCTCTCCTGCTTCATCAGCACCAGCCACCTCAGAAATCCTTCTGGTTTCTCAGTCCTGCCCTGTACTGATATGGCTGTCAATTCCCACCAAGCTTCATGCTCTAACTCTCCACCCCTCTCTTCTGAATGTCAAGGTTTGTCCTAACAGTCTGCACCCTTATCCCTTTGCCAACCTCTGCTCTTTCTGATCTTCCTCTCCTTCTATGGAGAATCGCTAGCGGAAATCCTACAGCAAGGCTGACAGCATCAATCTCAAATTCATTCCAAATTCTCAGTATCCATTCCTTTCTTAAATTAGTTTAAGAAAAATTCATCAAATTACTCCATCTAAATGCTCTCCCGTGGCAAATCTACAGAACTCTCCTAAAGTCACTTCAAGAGAAACTTTATTTTCAAATGGAAGTTTAAAAGTACCTGAGCTCTTTAAATAGATTTATCAAAGAATGAAAGAATTAATCAAGTCCAAGCTTGGCACACGTGGAGGCAGCTCCTAGTGGATTTGAGATAGCAACAAGAGAGCAGATCAAGTCTTTTGCTCCCAAACACGTAGTTCAGCATCACTACAGCCATGGAGTCAGGTTCTTAGGGTCTGTTTTTTTGGCATCCTCAAGTGCTCAAAAGCAGAGAGAGCAAGAAAACCATTTTAAATAAACGTATTTGTCTCAGTTTATTTTAGGGACATATTAGGCTCTGATATTAGTTACCATGAGGTCATTCTTATTACAAGGAGCAACACATTTCTGGCTCTTTTCTGTTCCTTGACAACCAACTCCATACACCCACTGGCAGTATTTCTGGTAGTACTGGCAAGCTCTTGGGTTTTCTTAGCACTGTCTAGATTTAAAAATTCAATACAAATTGTGACCTTTTCAAGCCATGCTAAATAAAGCCAATTGGCCTTTCCCATCTTATCCCATGGCCTTGATCCTGAAAGTCCATGTATGGTCTGCGACAGGCAATGCAAGTCTGTGAATGCTCTGCTTGGGCATAGTTCCGTAAGAGCAAGGGAGAGCTCCCTCTCACAGAGGGAGCAAAAAAAAGAAAGAAAAATAGAAAAAGGTTTTACTCTTCAAGAAAGGATGTTTCTCAGATAACATGTCTCTGAATAATGCTCAAAGGATATAAAGTTATTTAGCTATGTTCTTCCAACTTCAGTGATTCTATTGAGAATCGCTTGCCTGTTTTCTCGTTTATCAAATACATATAATAAAAGCTTGCTCCTCCACCATCTCTTCCATACGTGAAAGATTCAGTCACATTTGAAATAAAACAGCAGCTCTCCTCTACTTGGAGTTGAAAAAAATGCATTAACAGAATCAAACCTAAACAATATCCTCCTGTATGCTTCTTTACAGTATGAAGTGTGACATGATACATATATCATGTAGCATGCTGAGGTGGGGAGAGAGTTCAAAATTCAAGAGCAAAACATAGAGAACATCTGATTAGCAACTGTCTCCACTTTATACTGAGAGAGTTGCAGTGAAACCACTTCTGCTGAGGGAAAAATGACATAGGGAGGACAAATTCTCAAGTGGCAGATCCCTAACTTCTAAGTAAAAAACCATAAACCAAGAATTAAGCCCCAGCAGGGGACCCATGGACAACCAAAGGTACAAAGGAAGTAAGTTCCACCACCAGGCTGTATGTAACTAGGTCATTTGCAGGTGTAGTCTCATTTTAATGCACTGTGCTAACCTTGAGGGGTCTAAAAATTACACCAACAAGGGCAGCAAATCCAAATTAAGTAATTCCAAACCCTCTAAGTGATTAAGGTCTCTATTTCAATGTGGTCACTTAGCAGCAGGAAGATAGCGGACCTCAGCTGTGAATGGTAGGCACATGCTGAGTGACAGGGATGAAAAAAACCCCACTTTTCATACTTTCTGGTAGATTGTCCCAACCTGTGAATGTCAGATACATTGTATTGATATCACTGAGCCAAGATTTGGCCTGCAGCCTCAACCGTATCTTGGATAGAGGCTTCAATAACACTTGCAGGCTGAAGACATGCAGAACTTGCAGATGATGGCACAGTGTCGCCTGTGTCTGCCTCCAGTCTTTCCCAAAGACCTTCTTTCAGAAGAGTACGAGAAATGGGCTGTAAGTGCAGAATTTAGTAGGATGACCTTTAGGCTGAATAAGCAATTGTCTCAGACCATCTTTAGAGAAATCACAACTTGGAAGAGGTTGAGTCACTTGAAAGTAGCCCTATCTGTTTTGGAAATAATGTAGGTGTAGGCAAAACAAATAAACAGCAAAAGCAAAGGGAGCTGATCCTAGGCTGTAACTGGGTATCATCTGCTTTGTAGTTAATTTCTTAATGCAGAATCTTCTTCCCTTGCTTTACTTGTCCTACAATTTCATTTCACCTCGTACTTGTAGCTGTAGGATGTAGATGCACTGTAGTGGGCAGGATCAAGCCATATGATTATCACACTGATACTGTAACAGCTTCTTTAAAGTTTTTTTAAAGACACTTCTGGTTTTATTTCACTTGCAGAACTGGATTGTTTCAATTTTCTATTCCTATTGAATACTATTGCATGTGCCTACTCGGATGATTTTGAGAAAACAGGAGTTGCCATAGGAGGTCAGATCACAGGTACAGTAACTCTGCCAACCTGTCTCCAGGCACCCTTCGGAGGAAGATCGAGAAATATCACAGTTATGCATTATTATATATTGGTTAAAAAAAAAATAATTCCTTTCTCCTGAAGGAATCATTTCGTGCCTTTTTGCATGAGGCTGTCCTTATCTTACAATTACAAATATTATTCTTTTTCAAGAAGGATATGTATGTTTATAAAAGCCAATGGCAGAAATGTGACTCTTGTCCTGGGACACAACATCCCACTTCAGCTGGATTACTAGCATTTTATGATCACTCAGTGTGCATGGATGTGTATGACTAATGGCATCTCTCTCACTGAAGTGAAGGGGCAAGTTGCATAGCTGAAGCAGCATGACAGTACTGCCTTGAGCCCGCGTTCCTCTCTCATTAGTTTTATTTCACTTGACTGGTGGAAAAAGCAATTATCCACAATTGTGGAAAATATCCTTTTAGCTGAGGGAAGGGTGTTGTGAGGTGAGAAGAAAGAATATGAGAAGTAAACAGGGGGCCATGAAATGTTTGCAGAAAGGATAAAGGATCTATGGTATCAAAGGAGCACTGTAAATAAAACAAAGGTTTAGTGAAAAATAAAATGCTAGAATGACCAAAGTAAATTAACTCTGTCATGTAAGTCAGGTGCTTGAATAGAAACTGACCAAAGACTTAATTTAATGTTGTGTAAGAAAGGTTATTTCTGTTTTAGTTTACTTTTTCACAAACATTTGCATTTTTTAAAACAAACTGCAGAGTGTTTGGATTACTGGCTTATTCTGTAATCAATTTTACAGAAAGAATTTATGAACTAGTAAAGAAAAAAGACAGTGTTCTATCTTTTCTGTTGCCGCTTAAATACTGATGCAGGAAATCATTTGCCTATTCTCAATTTTATTTGATAGAACAAAAACCGTACGCAATAAAACTAAGGTCCAAGAAAAACATTTAGCTTGAAAAAAGGTTGAAAAATGTACCCTTGGAAAGACCACTGCTTACATGGGATTGTTCAACAAATTCCTGTTGTGTGAGGTTTGGCATATACTTTCTAAAAATATAAGCATCTGGGGAAACCAGACAAAGCCCAGGTCTTGGACCAAACGAGGCATGCAGCGTGAATCTGTTAGTGATTATATCCATAATGAAATATGTGCCCAAATCTAGCAGTACAAACCCCCCAATACAATATGAAAACACAGCGTGTACAGCCCTTACCATAAAATATAGCCAACAGCAAAGGTGCACACTGCAGCCAGTCCACAGCTCCTGCTGGGATACTGATGATGTGTTGTTCTCATCTCGATTAATACAAAGGGCAAAACTGTTGTATGCTGAAAAAAACAAAACAACAGGGGAAAACCAGGTGATACAAATGATTCTCACTGCATTTCCATGCTAGTTCTACAATAAGAAACTTAATTACAAAAACCTGAAGAAAATTTCTTGATGGTCTAGAAAGACAAGATAAAATGACTCTATAAAGTCAATCAATAACCCAAAGAGTTTTGTTGCTATAATATCCAATTGTTCGAGAGAGCAGAGGAAAACTGAATAAGCAGAATGTGCTTTTTCTTTTGGCCAGGAATGCAAGGTGGATACTCAGTGAGTAAAAACGGGATGTGGCATGAGGGGCACGGGTCCTAGCCCCAGTTTGGCCTTGCAGTCTTTGCCACTTCACAAAGTTATTTTGACCATTCAAGTTAGGAGGCAATGCATCTGATTTTCAGAGACTCCAGGCACAAACAATGCCAAATGAATGAATATAAATGGAGGTATTTAATGCTTCTGAGAATTAGGTTGAAATGTATTTCAATCTGGGGACTTGAAAACAGGGGACATATTTTCAAATGATAGCCTCAATACCTCTGTTCCTCCATCTGTAAGACAGGAGCAATTATCTTCTTCGGAAAGGTGTTGTGAATCTTAATTCGTTAGTTGTTGTGCAAAATGGTTTTAGATTCCCAAATGAAACATATGAAAGCCAAAGCTGTAAAAACCATTTTCAGCCACTTGTCTTTATTTAGCTGTGAAAGTCCTTATTTTGTCATTTTTCCATACACATTTCCTACACTGCCCCTTCTGAGAAGGTCTGTTCATCCAATTAATGTCAGCAGCATGAAAAATTGCATCTAGCCTGCCCCCAACACTCGATGTCTAGATTTCAGAGTGCTGGCAGGCATGAAAATATACATAGGCAAAGCATAAACGTGCCAGGAAATAAAGCCCATCATTTCTCAATACACAGCTCACCTAGAACCAGCATTATTGGTGACTCCAGAAACATACCCTGCCTTCCACCATGGGGCCAAGTTATCGCTGCTGTCTAAATGGAATTACTTTGGTTGAGAGCTTGGCCCTGGGGCTTGGTGTGACTGTGACTGTGAACTCTCTTGGTTCAGGTACAAGGATTGCAAGGGCAGCCTAAGCCCTAAGCCAGGTTCAATCCTTCCCCAAGCACTTGATCACCAGCTAGACAAGAAGGTTATGGCTTACGTTGGCCACGTTCTGCCATCAGATGCACACATGTAGTTCTGGGGGGAGCTGGAGGGCCGGATTTGTAAGTTTGTAATAATTATGCTGTAAACCCACACCAATTTTCACCAGCGTGAAGGCAGGACAGACACGGAGTAGAAATATCCTTGCATGGATAAGAGGTCCAAATGAGAGGAAACAGAGCAGGGCCTGAGCCTTTAACAACTGCGGAGAAGGAAGAATTGTTTGAATGGGAAATGATAAGATAATGGAAATGCTCTGCCTCAGAGATGTAACATAATCTGAATCGGATAACTGCTCTGATTTTCAAGGCATTAGTAATTAATGACTAGCATTTGGAGAATGTCAGGTGGATAATACAGCAGTTAGGGGAGCTTTCAATTTCTTCATCTTTTAACAACTTGATCTGCTCCCATCCCTTTAAACAGTATAAACCAGCATCAAGGGAATGCAAAGATGTTTTACAGGTGGTCTGCAATAGAGGTGCCCGCTAGTAGATGAGAGGTCTATAAACTGTGCAGGACTTCAGAGTCCATTAACAGGGACTGACAGCAAAGCAAGCCCTGGAGATTCACCTGTATGTCTTACATCTGCATGGAAAAGGTCTTCCGACGGAGATCAGTACCTCACTCTCCATAGCACCCAAAGCAGGGTAGCTGGAGGCTGTGCAAATGTCTGCTGCCCTGCCTCCGTAACCTCTTCAGAGAAAAAAACAGAAGACAACAAAGACTTTTAACTCCAAACTCCACCCTTGATATTTCTTGAACGATGTAACTCTTGCGATCCAGTCACTTAGTCTCAACTCTTCTCTATATGGATGATGGTTACAGAGCTTGTGAACTCCATTTCTCAATTGAAATGCTTACCGCTTTAGATACTGCTTGTTGATGTGCTCTTCATTGATGATAACAACTCAACAGCTTGCCAATTAAAAAGTAGTTAAAATAATTTCAGCAATCAACCAACCCTTAATCTGTAGTCCTCTTCTCCTTTCCCTCCTCCCAATTCCTGTGGTTATATAATAAAATAGGTCATTATTTTCCTAAATTCTCCTTTCTGCTCTTTTCTAAAGGTAAGGGGGGGGGGAACAGGATAATGAGCTGTATCACTAAAGAGTTGATGTACAAAATCCTGTCAAAAGTACAGTGCAATTAAAAGTGTAAGGAGAAAATCAGAGATGTGTATCTTTAATCTTTGTCTGTTACAGCAAATGTCGATGCTAACTGCAAACACTGCTGTTTTACAAATCCAGAGTATGAACTTTGATTTAAAATATTCTAGTGAAACTGCTGCTCTAAAAAGCTGTTTCAGATGCTTTACCCAAACTACAACCAAGATAAAATTTCCCTTTCCTACATTTCAGCCCCTCCAAAAACCTTAATTTAAAAAACACAAAATTTTGTAGGCAGGGATACCTTCTGTCAAACAGTGCCAATTAAAACTCTGAAGCTATAAATACCAAATTTGCATCAGACTGGCACGTGGACTGAAGTCTAGTGAAGGTGAGCAGGGGTCAAATGTGCTTGGAGTGGGATCCATCAGGGCTGGGAAAGCTGCAGGAGGCCAGAAATTTCATACCCTCTAATGTTTTTGCTACCTGATTTCTGAATAAACTTAGGCCAACGGGAATCTGAGGCTTAGAGAGAAAATAACATTGATGCTTCCTTGACCTGTTAAAGATCATGCCGTGCCGATCAAACATGCCCAACTGGTATCTCTGGGACTGATCCGTTTACTTACTGGCAGGCTGGAGAACAGCACAACATTTCTCACCTTGTTTGTCAAAGTATCTCCAGGGGCTTACTTGAGAGAAGACTAAGGACAGAGGAAGTTCAAGTAACACGGCGGTTTAAATGGTGAGGACGATTAGCTGCTGTAACAGCTTTCCAGTAATTGTTATTTTGCACCATTTAAGGAAAGGGCAAATTTATAATTCGAGTATAATGACTAGTATAGTACTATAATAGTAGTAAACTATGCTAGCACTAGTAATCAATGCTATATTGATAAGGCACTTTTATTATGGACTAAGTATTTACAAGCAAAACTGCATTTTTACCTGGACAGCTTATTCTGCTCCCACTGAGACCAGCTGCTCCTGTGAGACAGTTTTGCCTGTATGACTGTGCTGACACTAGAGAATTGAGCTAAGCCATGCTGTGGGTACGTCAGGGAGCACCCTCTCCATCAGCCGGGAAGGCGACACTCGCTGCACGTGCGCCCTGCGGTGACCGCAGGCTTGGGGTAGGGGGTAGCCGCCAGTCCTGCCGGGGCAGCAGCGAGGGAGGTAACGAACCCTTTCGTTGGCACGAGCTTTTAGCTTGGGCTCAGTAACTATATCTACTTGCAAGAAAATGTACCCTGTCAGCTTCTCCTGCCGCGACTGCGGCACTACCTGCCAAGGCGCCCTCCCAGCCACAAACCCCTTTTTCTCTGGAGTGCCAAGGCAGTGACCCTCGGACCCATTTTTAACCCCTCTCTGAAGGACCCATCCATGCCAAGACTGCCTTGTGAGTTGAAGCATGGCTGTAAGCCCCCACTACCTGGCCGCAGCATTGCCCTGCTCAGACCCCTCGTGCCCTGTCACTGTCTGTCCCTGCAGCGGGGAGGGGAGCTTTGACAGATCTTTACGCTTGCTAGGTCTGCTAGCAAGTGCTGGTCTCTGCAGAGCAGCGAGCTGCAATTTCCTCCCCGTTTTGTGTCCACCACACAGCACTGCTTCCCGAGGTCCCATCATCTACAAGTGGGGAAGAAATTTGGCTTGCTGGTAACAATGCATGAAAACAGAGAAACCAGCCCGATGCGCAGAGCTCAGGTGGAATTTGCAGGAAGGTAATCATATGGAGAATTTGATCCAGAAAACACTCGGGAGACTGACTCCAAAGGAGCAACCTCTGAGTGAAGCTGAATTAGCACACACTGCAAAAAAGCCACCCTGAGACCTGCCGGTGGATTAATTCCTAGAACCACTGCCATTGCTGCCTGAGAGAAACTCTGCTCATTAATGACTCTTTCAAAGATAGTTTTAAAACATGCACAACCTCCCACATGGTATGTATGTGCCTAATGATATTTGAGACTGGAAAATCACATTACAAATAGGCAGCACATCTGTAATGTTGGCTTGACAAGTTGAGATTTGATGGAGGAGTATGCTTCCCCATTTTAGATGTGTCCTGCAACAGGTAGTTGGAAAAAAAGATTTTATGCAAATCAGGTACATTAAGAATGAGTTCTGCAATAGTCTTTAGGCAAATTATGTGCTCATTCTTGAAAGCCTGATTACATATTTTATTTTCCAACCAGTAAGTGCTGCTTTTTTTAGCACTGTTTTCATCAATACCTTGCTCGGCCTTTTCTCCTTCCTTAACTGTGTTTTAAAGGGAATGTTAAAGCTTTTCAAAAGGTGCTAAATTGACAGTTTTGTGTATTGGTATCTTCTGTCCTTAGCACAAACATGGCAATGCTGTTTTCCCAAGTCACCCAGTCCTGATCTGCAGAGACTGTCCAGAAGTACCTTTACGACAAGGAGTTCAGTCTGAAAAAGCATCTGCTTTCTCAGATGCCCAGTCAGTATTCAGAAGTTCTGCAGGAATGGTGAAACCATTTGGGGATCACATAAATTGTGATTATAATTCACTTCAACCACCAGAAGACTGTGACCCATTACTCAATTTGATCAGACTAGAAACTACAGGGTATAGGACATTTTAGTTCAGTGGAAATATCGTGGACCTTTATTAAGAGGGCTTCAGTGTGACATTCAGCCCATGCTCTTAAGAGTCAGCGAAAGCCCAGTGACAAGAAAGGAGGTCTTCCAGCTTTGATGTCACCAGCA